TCCTGCAAGATGCTAGTATTCCTCCACTCAAATAATTTTGGTGATACACTTGCTAAGGAAAACAAGATGGTAGGTCCTCAAGAAGACTAAAACTTCATTTTCAATTTAGGATTATCATGTGATCCAGCAATTTTACCCTTAGGTATAAACCCAAATACACGGAAGAACTCTAGCAGTATTTTAAACCACTGTTACAGCAGCACTATTCATGATAGCCATAAGTTATGAGCATCCTAAAGTATCACAGAAGATGAATGAGTAAGCAAAACATGGCATTTCCAAATATGGAAGAACACTATTTAGCTATCAAAAGGAATAAAATTCTGACACATGCCTCATCTCAGGATGAACCCTGAGCTCATATACACTAAGTGAAATAAACCAGTCACAAAAAAAACAAATAGGTAAAATTCCTATAAAATAAAGTACCTAGAAGAGTCAAAATAATATAGACAGAAAACAGAAGGTTGGTTGTCAGAAGGCAGAAAGAGGGAAAACTGTAATGCACCCAGAATTAGTTTTACAAGATGAAAAGAGCAGTGAAGATGAACGACGGTGATGTTTGCATAGCACAATGAATACTTAACATCACTGAAGTACACGCTTCAAAGTGGCTAATAGGGAAAATTCTATTATATATTTTCCATGATTAAACTTTTTAGTTGAAAAGACTGGGAGTTCTGTTCTGCTTGTTTCACTGCTGGGGATCAAACCAGGGCCCTCATTCATGCTAGCTAAGCACTCTGGAGGGGGTGGGAATTTGAAGGCAATTTGTTTTGTAGTAAGTTCACCCATCCACAGGCCCAATCCTCTCCTTATAATCTTCTTCCCACTACTTAGCACCAGGTCACTGACTTCAACAGAAGCATTCATTCTCTCTTGAAGTGAAATGATCGAGAACCCCTTCCCAAAAACTTTTCATATTTAGACATTATACTTATTATAACCTGGCTATCTAGCAAAGATCAAACTCTGATTTTTTTTTCTCCTAATAACAAATGGAAGAGTTTCAGAAAGGCTTTTTCACTCGAGCTTGTTAAAAATAATTGCTTTCTTCATGTTATAGAATTAGATAAATAAATGCAAACACTAGAAAATAAAATACTCAAATACATGTAAAGGTTTTAACTGAGTGGTTTTTTGTTGTCCTTTTGTTTTGTTATGTTTTTTGGGTTTTTTTTTTTTCAAGGATTTCTTCCTGGCAGTCATAGAACCTGCTCTGTAGACCAGGATGGCCTTGAACTTATAGAGATCAACCTACAGAGACCTCCCAGAACTGGGATTAAGGTGTGCTCCCACCACCCAGCTTACTGAGAGGTTTTTTTCCCCAAAATCTTCAATAAATTTTATATAACTTAATGACTTCATAATATCCTACCAGAACCTTTAAAATTTTTCAGTTAGACATAAAAACAATGGGTTTCATTTTGACAATTTCATAAATAGTCAGCATTGTACTTTGCCCATATTGTCTCCTCAAAAAACATTTGTCCCTCCTTCCCTTCTCTCTCTAGCTCACTAGTGGTCCCTTTCCACCACACAAATAATCCTTCTTTCTTGTCATAGTATGTGTGTGTATATAAATAAACACATATGCCTACAGATTTTGTGTATTAGAGATAACAGACAATATTTGTCCAACATAAATATCTGCAAATGAGTTAACTTCATTTTTTCTTTTTTATTTTATTTTTGACAGGGTTTCTCTACATAGCCCTGGCTGTCCTGGAACTCAAGACCAGGCTGGCCTTGAACTCAAGAGATCCCCCTGCCTCTGGCTCCCTCACAAGTGCTGGGAGTAAAAGTGTATATCACTACAACTGGTCTCATTCTTTTTTTTTTTTAATTCATTCTTTTTAAAAGAAAATGAAGCTCCATTGTATACACATTTTCCTTACTTTTCATACACTAGTAGACATCTAGCCTGATTCCATATTTTGGCTATTGTAAACACTAATAAAACTAAACAAGCATGTATAAGCATTCTTAAAATTTAATTCAAAATGGTGCACTTTTGCAAGATGGTGGTGCATACTTTTAGTCCCAGCACTCAGAAGGCAGGAGTAAGTTATCTTTGTGAATTCAGAGCCAGCCTGGCCTACAGATCCAATTCCAGGACAGCCAGGGGTACACAGAGAAACCCTGTCTTGTAGGAGGTTGGTCTGGTTCTGCTTGTATTCAAATTCTGAATTCTGTACCCCAAGATCTGGTTGTTCCAAGGTAGCAGATCCTCATGTATATCAGCTTCTGCTGTGTAAACCTTGTCCCCCGAGTTATTCATGATTGGTTAATAAAGATGCCTACAGCCTTGGCTGGGCAGAAGAGAAGGGGTGGAACAAAGGTTTCTAGGTTTGGGAGGGTCTCAGGCAGGAACTATGAGGAGAAGAGGAAGGAGGAAGAGGGCATGGGGTAGGTGGCACATGGCCCTGGGGGCCAGCCTGCTGGAGTAGGAGCAGCCCAGGCTGAACATGGCAAGTGCTCTCGGGTTATTGATAGCGAAGCAGACATAACAGCATAGGGGGTTGATATCTGCCCAGCTCTGGTGCCTTTAAGTTTATTATAAATATAAAGGTTTTGTATCATTTATTTGAGAACTAAATGATCTGAGGTTGTAGAAATCCCCATACAATATTTACCACAACACTGTCTCAAAAAAAATAATAATAACTGTGTCCTTTCTAAGAGCATGCTAAGCTCTCATATCATTATTGATTCTCATAAGCACATAAAATAATTTTACTATATTCATTTTGGGGAAGGTATCCAACTAAACAAGTAATACCCAAGAATCTACATGTCATGTCTTATGTTTTTGTGTATATGTATATGTGTATATGTGTTTTGTGTATATGTATATGTACACATGCATTTTTGTATATGAATGTGGTACTACATATCAAATCCAGGGCCTTACATATGCTAAACTAGGCAGTGCTCTACCACAGAGCTACATTTCCCACAGCTGCATGCCAGGACTTGTGGTATAATCTTTACAGTAAGTTTCTTGATTTCCTTATAATGCATAATTGTTTATTTTAAAATTAATACCAAAAAGCCTACAATAAAGAAGACTACAATGATCAATTTAAAGAAGGACCACACAAACAAAATGATGTGGTATTTTAATTGGTAAGCAGTTCCTAAACACACAAAAGACTAATATGTTTAAAATACAGAGACACAATCCTCTAAATATTTTTGTATTATATGAAGGCTGTCCACACCAAATGCAATTAGAAATTTTTTTCCAGTTATAAACAGTATGCACAGTATGTCCCTGGCCTATAAGAGCATTCCAATACCATTCTAATAAGAGAAATCTTTTGCTGCAAATGTAGACCATTGGTAGAGCTCTTGCCTAACATGCACAGGGACCTGAGTACAATCTCCAGCTACTGTAAAAGGAAAACATTTGAAAGAATGATTGGAAAAAAAATTTTATTGGAATTCAATAACATAATAAAAATAATCATTTTGATTTCCAAACCAAAGTCTTGAGGTGCCTCAAAAATATTTCTCTGCCTCTGATATTAATAGTGAGTCAGGTATTGTGGCATACACTCCTATAATCCCAACACTGACGAAAACAATTAAGGCTAACCTGAGCTATATATATCTTGAAACTCTGCCTCAAAAAAAAAAAAAATTAACAAGCATAGTGACTGACAGAAAGAAGACAGAAATCAACTACAAGTTATTAGAGGTTTTAAAAGCTTACAAAATTAAAACACATTAGGGCTAGGGTAAATTACACCATTTGCTGCTGTCCAGGCCTTCTCATCAAAACACCAATTGGGTAAAAACTACATCTAGGAAGTGGACATGGTGAATCACACTTGTAATCCCAGTAGAGAAGCTGAGGTAGGAAGATTATATTAAATTAGATGTCACCCTGATCTGCACAGGGAGACACTGTATAAGATAAAGAACTCAGGCTATTCTAAAACCTACAAAATGCCACGGCCAACTTTCTTTTTAAAACCATTCCTTTCTCAGTTTGTAGGTTGCAGTATAATCAAAATGTAGATATAAGCATATTCCTAGTATACCAGATAACTACTAGAAAACAGCAAATTCTTAGAAATTCTTACACTAAGTAGAAATGTAATGCCTCCAGAGACTGTGAAGTAATGTCGGTGTTAGAAAAAAAGTCTGCCTATATTTGACAAATATAATTCGAAACAATGTTTGTATAGCACTAAAATGTGTTCTTCAGTAAATATCAAAAAGCAAAGAAAATATTCTCAGAGTAGTGTTTATAACTACAAATCTTTCCAGATGCACACAGCTCTACTTTCAAAGGGCCTCCCTAAGATACTTACATGTCAGTGTCACTACAGGAGGGTTCAGTAAAGGAATGATCTTTACTTTCAATTAATTAATTCAAGGACACCAAACAATTGAAGTCTGTAAGGGAAGAGAATCTGCAAATGTGAACGGGTTATTAAGTTTGTGAATTCACTGCAGAGATGCATCAGAGCATACTGCCTCTCTGCCTCCTTATTTTCTGCCCTCCAAAGATTGCAACAAGGCCTCCTGAGTCTCAACTGTCTACTTCTCTTTGAAAAGGACCACAAAGCCCGACTAGTCTCATCACCTCCTCATCACTCTACCTTTTCACTCTCCACTTCATACAATACACCACACCCATAGCAACACACTCTCCACACATCAGTTCCCTCATGGAATCACCCAAACACCCCACAATTAACCCATATTCTACACATTCCTCATGAGACTGAGAAAGAGCCCACATACATAGTAACCCCCAGATAATTATATTCCCAAACGTAAAAATATCATTCAACACACACACACAGAGCATATGAAATACATGTTCCCCAAGGTTCACAATATACACACATCCTGAGCCACGTAGGGTAGAAAAGCACACACTACAACCACTGCGGTGCTCAAACAAACGTGGGGAAGAGGCTACCGCGCTATCGCCCCGAGGCGCCAAGTTGGAGGTGGGAGGCGAGCAGAGCCAGACACTTCACCTGAAAATCCGCAAGGATCATCTCCCGGTCCATGTTGGACGCCATGGCGGCCGCCGAGCTCCGCGGCTCCGGGAACGAAGCGCGCACCTGGGAGCGAGACGGCGCCTCCTGCGGCCGAAGCTGCGGCCGCCGCCGGGTGGCGAGGGGCTGGCGGGCGAGCCGGCGGGAGGGCCGGCGGGCCGGCGGGCGGGGCAGCGCGGGAGACTAGGTGCTCATGCACTCGGTAACCTTCAGCCGCCCTGAGCCCGCCTGCGCCCCGCGGAGCCCTCGCCGCAGCTGCCCGGACGGGGAGGCTGGTCTCGATGCCGGGCCGGCCCTTCCGTCGCCGCCTGGGAGGAGGACAGGTTGCGACAGCGCGCGCCCGGCTCCTTTCAGCCACGGCAAACCTGACGGGGGCGGGGAAAGCGAGAGAACGAGCAGGCGGGCCAACGCCACAGCCGCCTCCGCCTCCTCCGCTTCCTCCCCGACCGCCGCCTCCGCCCCTGGTTGGCCGGCGCCTGGGCTGTCGCACATTTTGCCTGTCATCGAGGTCGCAAAGCGGCGCTTTGCGGCTGTCACGTGACTGCCCGCCTGTCAAGCGCTTGGCGCTCCGTTTGCGGGCGGGGTCGCTGACCCGTGTAGCAGGGACAGCGATGCTCGTTCCCCGGAGCCTGAGGACCTGCAACAGGTTATTCCAGTTTGGGTTGAAGCCTAGGCCTCGAGGTGCCGCCTCCCCCTGGCCGCGGCCGGAATGTGATTCGGCGCCTCACGTGCTTAGTCACACGCAAAACACAACCAGCCTCAGCCCAGCTCAGCACACTCAAAAACATAAACCGCCTGGCCAGCAAAATTCCTAACATGTAGGTTTTCCTCTCACCAAAATACCTCCTCGTGGACAATCTCTCACACTCAGCCTCGCGGTAAAAAGCTGTTTACGTACTGCCACTCCCAATCTGAAACCTCTTTTTTCTGAGTCTGCAATCTCAGGCACAAACCCTGAGGTATCCAGGAGACCATGTGTCTGTGGAACATAGAAACTCAGAAGGTGAGGGAGGATCCAGACCTCAAAAGGATGCTGAAGTTGATATTTAAGGAAAAAATATTTCTACTGCTATAATATCTACATTTTTAGAGCATTACATGCAGCAAACTTGAATACACTATTTCATATATTTTATTTAAAATACTTTCAAAAGTAACAGGATGTTACAGTACTCATAATTTCTGAAGCTTTTGACTTATGGTCAGAAATTAGCAACCTTTGTACCTAAAACATCTAAAACCTATGAATTATATGAAAATTTGTAATTGCCATCTAGGCCAAAGGAAGGCTGACAATATATTCAGTCTTGACAGAAAAACAGTAGGTACTTGCAGACTTTTAAAGGACGCATCCATGCTCTGGAAGGTATGTTAAACTGGAAATGTTTAATAACAATAGTAGGAACTGATGAGATCACTGTAAAGAATCAATGCCTAAGCTTTTTAAGCTAGGAGTATATCCATAAAAAAACAGAAAGACTGAATCAAATATTCAGTCCTCTGAATACAAAAAATTGTGCTATTTATGTTAAGATCTTGATTTGCTGGAGATGAAACTCAAAAGTAGATGGAGGACTTGCCTGCCACGCACAAGGCTCTTGGTTAGATGCCCCAAACTACCAGGTGGAAAAGTGGATTCCAAAGTTCTCTTACTAAAAGGAATCTGGCATACAATTCTGTGATAACGTGTATGGTTTTTTTAGGTTTTTTAGATTTATTTGTTTTATGAGTGGTTTGCCTATGTGTAGTATACGTACCATATGGTGCCTGGTGCCACTGGAGGCTAGCAAGAGGTGTCTGAATCCCTGGAACTGGAGTTATGTATGGTTGGTTATAAGCCACCCTGTGGATGCTGGGAATAGAACCCTGGTCCTCTTCAATAGCAACAAGTACTCTTAAATCACCGAACCTCCCTGTCCTGTAAAGTGAACCTATTTGAACATGCAGGATCAGCTAAGTAAGAAATAGAACCTCCCTGTGTCTGCTGTGCTGATTCATGCCTTTAATTCTATCACTAGGGTTGCAGAGGTAGGCAAAGCATAGAGAGTTCCAGGCCAGACTGGGCTACATAGTGATACCATTTTAAAAAAAAAAAAAAACACTTTGTAGTCTTTTTCCTTGCTGTACCAAAAGGGAGAGATTCTGAGATTCTGAAATTGTCATAAATAGGAATCATGAGGTGAAACCCAATGTGAACAATTAAAATGAGATAATCCAATAACCCCATTAGTATGGCCCCTCAGAACAAAGCAGGTGTTCAGTCATATATGGCCAGTGTTAGTACAACCCTGCAAAATTGACATGTGACTACCTCAGAACTCATTCAAACACTATACACATTCCTCTCTCCCTTCTCTCAATCTGAAAATTAAAATAATGCCATAATATAGGAAGATCGGAAGCATGACCCAGATATTCAAACATAAGAGGCTTCAGAACTATTTTCCCAAAGAATTAGCTGTTGAAACCTGGATGAGTCGTTCAAATATTACTAATGTCAACTCCTAACAAGATCATTTCAGAAGGTAAATGAGAAACTTACAAATCTTTGTATAAAATTAGCATACATTTCATATCATTTCTGTTTGAGACCTATCTTTTCCCCTTTCCAACCTCTCTGTGAATCTTTAATCTCTGACTCAAAACTAAGAAAACTTAGCAGTTTTGAACAGTGAGTTATATGTCTCATGGGAAAGCTCCCCATAAACCTTAAAGCTTCCTAATGCACTGTTAACTCAGTATGCTAACTCCTACATGTTCTTTCAAGGCCTCCCCTTTCATCAAGCTTAAACCAACAAGAATGCCTGCCCTTTTTTCCCCCAACCATGCCTTTAATACTTTAACAAACACAGTTCTGGCAAATTCTATGAATTTTTTTCTGTAATTTCATCAACAAATGGTTTATCTCCTTCCACAGGTTGAAAGTTTCTTGATGGTTATAAACCATTTTTATCCAGCATTTTTTAATATTCATCAGAGTACATCCATAACAAAATCTTGGGTTCACACTAATGATTTAAATTTGTATTGTGTCTCTAGCCAGGCATGGTGGTGCACACCTTTAATCCTAGCATTTGAGAATCAGAAACATATGGATCTCTGTGAGTTCAAGGTCAGCCTGTTCTACAAAATGAATTCTGGGACAACCAGGTCTGTTACATAGAGAAAACTTGTTTTGAAAAACTGAAGGAGGGGGCTTGAGACATGGCTCAACGGTTAAGAGTACTGACTGCTCTTCAAGAGGTCCTGAGTTCAGTTCCCAGCAACCACATAGAGGCTCACAACCATCTGTAATGGGATCCAATGCCCTCTTCTGGTGTGCCTGAGGACAATGACAGTATACTCACATACATAAAATAAGTAAATAAATAAACATTAAATTAAAAAAAGAAAAAGAAAAGCTAAAGGAAAAGAAAGAAAAGGAAAGGAAAGAGAAAAGAAAAAAATTTACAGAATGAAAGGCAGAGTTGTTTTGTTTTTAGGATTTTTGTCCAGAGTCATGAAATAAAGTCAAAGGCCTAGGAATCAAGTCTAGGTCAAAACTAATGCTCTTCCCACTTTCCCTGGTGATTCCCTACGGTATCACTCTCCTTGCTGCTAAGTTTGTAAAATAAATGAAAAGATTGTTTCTGACATATGGTCTAACTATTATGGTTGAATAGTCAGCATCCAGAATAAATATCTACTACAGAAAAATTGAAGGGAAAACAATATGTTTTTCATTTTTCTAAAATTCCATTTTGAGAAAATTTCACTGCAGTGGCACAAATCAAGAAAACAAATTCTTTTCCCATAAGTACATGAAATAATTTTAGTCCCATTTTTATAGACTGTACCCTAATTTAAATACAATCTTTTAAATTTTTCATGTAATTTCCTTTTTTCTAAAACTTTAAAAATGTTTGCATTTCATTTCTCAAGTATCAATAATTTATTTGTGCTATTATTAGTATTTATTTTACTATTTTTTAATTGTGTGGACATCAGTATAGATACACAGAGAGGCCAGAGGCCTCGGATTCCCATGGAGCTGGAGTTACAGGTTGTTGTTAACAACCCGACACAGTTCTTGGGAATCAAACTCGGGTCCTTGGCAAGAGCAATATGAGCTCTTGACCACTGAGCCATCTTTCCAGCCCCTATTTAACTAAATTTTCACATCAAATTGTTTTTGGATTTATAAACTCAAATGACAAGCCTAGATCCTGGTAATTTTGAAAGAGTCAGAACTTTATAAACTATCCCTCACCTGGGGGTTGCCTAATGTTTCCTTACATTCACACTGAGTGTGCACTAGGCACTGCAGCACATCCATTCATCCCAGCACTTGGGAAGATAGTTCAAGGGGAGACTTTACTTCAGGGTGGGAAAGGGAGATTACACTGAGTTTGTGGATCTTGAGTAATACTTGAAGGTGATAGGTCCTTCTCATTATGTGATATTGGAGTCTTCACATTATGAAATTACTTACTGTGGTATTAATTTTGATCTTCTGAATGAAGATGAAAAAAATCAAAGTTGTGGTTTTTTGGTTTTTGTTGTTGTTGCTGTTTGTGGTTGTTGGGTTGGGGTTTGATGTTGCTAATGTTGTTGCTAATTGTTATTTTGAGGCAGGGTGTGATGGCTAGTCTTGGTTGTCAACTTGACTATATCTGGAATGAACCGCAATCCAGAAATGGATGGCACACCTGTGATCCAGATCTTGAGGTTAGAAAATACAAGCTTTTGATCTAGATCTTGGGGCTCAAGACACAGGACTTTAATCTAGATCTTGAGGCACACCTTTAATCTGGGCCATACCTTCTGCTGGAGGTCTACATAAGGACTGTGGTGATTTGAATATGCTTGGCCTAGGGAGTGGTCCCATTAAGAGGTGTGGCCTTGTTGGAGTAGTTGTGGCCTTGTTGATGGAAGGTGTGGCCCATCACTGTGGAGGTGGGCTTTGAGAGACCCTCCTCCTAAACTACCCAAAAGCCAGTCTTCTAGCAGCCTTCAAATTAAGATGTAACTTCTTAGCCCCTTTTCTGCCTTGGTGATAATGGACTGAACCTCTGAACTTGTAAGCCAGCCCCAATTAAATGTTCTTTTATAAGAGTTGCCTTGGTCATAGTGTCTCTTCACAGCAATGGAAAATCTAACAAAGACAAGAACAATGGAAAAAGGAAGGTTTTCTTCTTTGCCTGCTTGCACTTACTTGCCAGCCCATCCATTGGAGCCTACTTCTTCAGCATTCCAGCTTATACAGAAGACCAGCTGAAACACACAGCCTTGTGGGATTAAGCTACTACTAGATTCTTGAACTTCTCATTCACAGACGGCCATTGTTGAGTTAGTTGGACAGCAGCCTGTAAATCATTCCAATAAGTTATCTTTATACATACATACATATACATACATACATACATACATACATACATACACACATACACACATATACATATATACATATGTGTGTATATATGTATTATATAGAGAGAGGGGGAAGGGAGTGAAAGGGAGGGGAGGGGGAAAGGGAGAGGGAGAGAGGAAGGGAGAGATGCATTCCATAAGTTCTATAACTCTAGAGAACCCTGACTAATACACAGGGTTTCTCTGTGTCGCCCTGGCTCGGCTGTCCTGGAACTCACTCTGTAGACCAGGCTGGCCTCAAACTGTCCATCTCTGCCTCCTGAGTGCTAGAATTAAAGGCTTACATCACCACTGTCTGGATGATAACCACAGTTTTTTAAACAGTATTTTTTGCTTATTAAGTAACTCATGAGACTAATATTACTACCAAGTTAATTCCTGTTTTAGTAATCAAACAGGTAGTTTATCCAGTGATTTAAAGAGTCTGGTGGGTAACCCTAGACTCCAAGCCCAAGTTATGAATTCAAGTCCTATATTTGTTGACTTTAAATCATAATTTCAAATTTCCTTCATCAAAAATGAGAACTATAGTTACTTCATAAAATTTAAATAATATGTGTGTTATATTTAATAGCTGCAAAGCACTATAAGCATCGCTAATTAATATCATAATTTAAGCTTTCAAGTTGTTTACTAGCATTTTATTTTCTTACTTTTCAAAACAGGATTTTCTAAGAAGTTCTACAAGTACCCTTTGAAAAAGCCTGTTGGGTCTCAGAAATAAAATACCAGAGCCACAAGTATAAGTAATTTTAAAAAGGTCCCCTAGGGGGCCACCTCTGTTATCTATAAATTCAACAAAGAGGAAGACTTTAAAACCAAGTTAGTCAAAGCTAATCATGTAGGAACTCTTTACTGACTGCAGTCGATATGGGAAAAACATGAAATAATTTGAGTAAACCGTATGCTCGCCGTAAGCCCTTTAAAATAACTATGAGCTACTAAAGGTTCCCATGACTCTTGGTACTTAGTATCCAACCATGCAAGATGCCTTTGAGCATTTGAAGGAAATATCATAATTATGTCAAAAGAAAAAAACTGTTACTTTCAATATAATACAAGTGTAACATGTTATAAAATATAAGCTTATCAGCCAGGAGTGGTGGTGCATGCCTTTAGTCCCAGCACTTGGGAGGCTGAGGCAGGTGTATCTCTTGTGAGTTCAAGTCCAGCCTGGTCTACAGAGTGAGTTCCAGGACAATAAATGCTTATCAAGAACAAATGCTCTTAAATCTACCTCCGTAAACTACTCTCACAAAGTAAGAAATTTTTTTTTCTTAACTGGACATGGTAGCACATGCCTATAACCCCAGAACTATAAATTTTTAAGAAAAATCCCTAAGAAACAGTATTTTGGGCTGTAGAATGGCTTAGCAGTTAAAAGCACTTGCTGCTTTTGCAAAGAACCAGAGTTTAGTTCCCAACACCACCCAAGTAAGACAGTGCACAATGTATCAGGGTATCCAGTGCCCTCTTCTGGCCTTTTTGAGTGTACACACACACACACACACACACACACACACATTTTTTTAAATTTATTTTTTACTTTTTTTTTATTTTCAAGACAGGGTTTCTTTGTGTAACCTTAGCTGTCCTAGAACTAGCTCTGTTGACCTCTGTAGGCCTTGAACTCACAGAGAGCCACCTGCTTCTGCCTCCCAAGTGCTGGGATTAAAGGTAGGTACCACTAGCACCTGGCCAAATAAGTTTTTTAAATGAATGTAAAAAGTTAGTGTTTTAACAAGAGTTGAAGTTATAGAACAGCTTTTACTGTGCTTGTGTATATATGTATGTATGTGTGTATTTTGAGGCAGGACCTCTCTCTGTAGCTCTGGCTGTCCTGGAATTTGATCTATAGACCAGGCTGGCTTTGAACTCAGAGATTCACCTGCCCTGGCCTCCCAAGTGCTGGGATGAAAAGCAAGCACCACCATAACCCAGCTGCTTTTACTCTTATTTTCAGGCTCTGTTTTTTTTTTTTTTTAAGTTTTTTACATATTACTTGTGGGTGATTGGACATTAAAATCTTCAATGCTTAGGGCTCCCCAAAACTCTTAATACAAGGTAGAATGGTGCATACTTGTAATCCAGCCATACCAGGCTAATGCAAGGTTACAAGTTCTAAGCCAGCCTGAGGTACATAAGGAGCTGTAGACTAGCCTGACCAAAAGCACACTAAACACTGAGTTTTCTCTACTCAGTTATTCAGCAAAGATATTTTATTTGATGAAAGTTATAACACATGTACACCCATTTTTTATACAGAATGCACACACTATTCTTCCTCGTTACCATATTTTCTCCAAGCAAAACACCATGAAATTCTAGACAGCAGCATTTGTAAATCTCGATTAGTGCCAGTTATCACGTTAACAGTGCCAACATCCTATCCCAGCTTCCAGAGAGCTAAAAACTGAAGAGTTCCTAGAATGATCAGAAATACAATATACACGGAATATTCTGTTAAAATGTTTTTAAAGAAGTTCATCCCCTTTGTTGTTACCTGATTTTCACAATAGTCAGCTTTAGCTACCTCAAAAAATAGCTATGATCTTTCCTTAACAACTTAAAGAAACACTGCCAAATTTTTGTAGTTCCAATTTTCCCCAACAGCCAACCTGATGCTAGATGACTATCCAGATGCCTCTGGCTTGTTTGAATACTTTCACTTTACTCCAAGGAACTGGATACAGATGTTTCTTGAGGATATACGTGCAGTTCTAGTTAGACCAGTGTCTTGGGGTGGGGGGTGCTTGGTTTCATTTTGACCACTGAATGCATCATGCAACCATGCTGGTATTTTTTTTAAGCATAAAAGTATAGAAGGGAATAATCTCATATGGCTAAAAAAGGACGTCCAAAGTAGAGAAAATTGACGCTGAATAGGAAATGAACGATATGGGTACTTTGGTCCTTTTACACTTAGACCACCATCCCCACCTCCATCTAAAAACAGCCAAGCCTCCGTGTAGTGAAAGAAATCCCCCAATAAAGACATAGCCTTTTAAGAAAACATTTCTAACTAGCTGTAAGCTTTGTTTAAAGTTAATTGCATTTCCCCCTTTCCCTCAAGAATAGAAGTTCACTATTCTAGACCCTGGAACTTTAAGGCTTCGAAGTTCATCAGGATTTCTTGTAACACGCTTTCAGTTCTCATAAAACCCGGTCTACAAGACTTCTCTGCCATGTGGTGCTGTCAGTTGGGTCGCCTCTGCAGCCCTGGCAATGACCTGACAGGTGCCAAGGCCTATGGCAGAGCAAAGGAGTCCAGCCAGAGCGCGCTCCGGGAGGAGGCAGCAGCCCCGGCCAGGCCACTCGAACTCTGCGAGCCTGGTCCGGGAGCGCCGAAGAGGGTGGAGCCGCCCCGCTCCAGCTGAGGAGCCGGCGGGAGCGCCAGCGCGCTCCCTTACCCGCCAGCAGCAGGGCCGCCGAGCCTATAGGGCCTTAGCCCGCGGCCGCGGCCTCAGTTACCACCACCCGGGTCCCACGCGGTAGAACCTCGGTGTCACCGAGCCAAAAGCAGGCCCAGCCAGGCTAAACCCACCCCGCTTCGGCCGGGACGACTAGCGAAGCGGGAGGGCAGGCGAGCGCGCCGGCGAACCCAGGCCCAGCGCGGGCAGAGAAGAGCACGGGGCCGCGAGGGCGGAGCGAGCGCGCCGCCGGCCACTGCGCCGCCTGGGCGGAGGGCGGGGCGTGGGCGGTGCCCGGCCTTCCCGCTCCCGCGGCGCCCTAACTCTGTGGAGCCTCCTTAAAACTCTGCCGTTAAAATGGGGGCGGGTTTTTCAACTCAAAAAGCGCTCAATTTTTTTCTTTTCAAAAAAAGCTGATGAGGTCGGAAAAAAAGGGATAAGAAACCGGCTCGGTCCCTTCAGAGGCAACCGTAGCAGCAGTTGCTTCAGCGGAAAAAGAAGCAAAGGAGGGAGGGAAGGGAAAGATCCTAAAGGAAAGACGCGCTAGTGCTTGTAGCGGTGAAAGGAGCAGCGATCAGAGATTTGGGGGAGTCGGACTACAAAAGAAACTGTCAGCTGCGGCTCGCAACCGGCCGGCCCAGCCTGAGTCGGCTCCGGGACCCAGCTGGCTGGCAGCCGCGGACAGGACAGCGGCACAGAGAGGGGCACAGACCGGAGGACCGCCAAGAACTAACTGGCCAAGTGGCACCGAGCGCCCGAGCTGCTGGGCGGCCGCCAAAAAGTCGGCGGGACTGGCTGCGCCCGGGATCTGTGGCAACCGCTCCTACTTCCAAAGACACTTCCTATCATCGGAGGCCCCAGGAAAATCTGAAAGGGAGGGAAAGACCGCCGCACAGGCGACCGCCGCCGCTCAGCAACCGCTTGCAGTGGAGAGTCTTAGCTAGGTCGGTCGTAGGCGGGAAGTACTGGTGAGCTGGCCCGGTGCAGGCGCGATGCTACGGCGAGCTGCCCCAGCGGCTGGAGCTCCATAGACGCAGCCCTGCACCGTCCTCAGGCTGCCGGGAGTCCCGGGACCCGGCGGAGCCGGCATGACGGGCTTGGCGGGGGTCTGCCGCATACCCACCAGCCTCCGGAGACCCGCACCCTGCCCGGCTCCCACGGCCTCTGAGGCTCGGCGGGGCTGCGGCAGCCCGGCGGGCGGGCTCCGGAGGCTCTTCTGAAGACGCGGATCCCGCCGGGGAGTCGTTGAGACCTGAGAGTTGAGGGCTTCAGAACTGCTGCTCTGGTCTGCCTTCGGCAATCATCTTTAACCCTCCCGAGCACGTCAGCATCCAGCCAGCGCGGCGCTCTGCTAGCGAGCAGCACTCTGGACTACCCCCTTCAGCGAGACGGATGGGAAGTGAGCCCTGCGGAGGACCTGACTCTGAAATTCTGCCTCAAGTCACAACTGCGAACAAGGGTGGGTTAATAACTTTTCTACTCTCCAATACTTTTTCTTTCGCGGTGTTTTCTGAGCTGACCTAGTCCCTTAAGTCTCCGCAACATCCTCCTCACAGAGCTGTGAAGCTTAGATACGTGACAGCTCTGCCTACATCTCACGTCCATAGTAATTAATCAAGAAATGCTTCTGTGTATGTATCTCTGTTGAATCACCAGAATCCTTCTTAGGGGTTAAGCTAAAAAGCTAGGGAAGGAGCCCCTCTCCAATGGGCTCAGTTTTGCTGAATAATCACGTGTGAATCGAGGGGCGGGCTTTTGGCAGGCCGACCTTACTAGTATTTACTACCAAGCTCTACTCCAGATTAACCATCCCAGTCCTTCTGTCAGCCTCCGATGCCATCATGCAGCCTGATTAGGAGTAAAGGAAAGGGGAAAAAGAGAAGCAACTAATCGTCTTTTCCCGATCGTCAGGACCCTAAAGAATGGCCGAGCCTTGGGGGAACGAGTTGGCGTCCGCAGCTGCCAGGGGGGACCTAGAGCAACTTACTAGTTTGTTGCAAAATAATGTAAACGTCAACGCTCAAAATGGATTTGGGAGAACTGCGCTGCAGGTTGGTATTCACAGAGGTGGGGAAAACAAGTTAATAAGGTTGCCTGGGCTTTTAAAATGACAGCTTTTAAGTTTGGAGGGGTACAGATCTTCACTGTTTAAAAACCTACATGGTTGCCATATTTTATATCTTTAAGTGGATCCAGCTCCCCCAAATGACGTACTTTGGAGAAACTGGTCAAATCCAATAACATCCTGGATATCAAGAGAACCCTAGGTTTGGTTATAATTTTTGGAATGCTTTTGTGTCAATGGAGATTTTAAAGTAGTCTTATCGTCGAAATCTGTTTGTTTTGTGCAGTGTTGTTTTAGATAGCTCTTTAAGCACGTTATTATGATTATTATTTGAAGTAAATACACAGCTAATAGTGGTTTTCACCTATTTCGATCCTAATAATTGACTTTAAAGTTAAGTCTCTTGGCGTCTAGGCAGGGTGTTTTACCTTCAGCTGCTCCATGTCTTAACAAACGACCTTTCCTCGTTTGATATGGGATAGCCTGGGCACCAGGACAGGGTGTACATTTTCACCGTTAATATAATACCTAATCCACCCATTCAGGAGTGAGGAGAAATTAAAAAGTTGAATTTTCTAATCAGAGCCGAGCAGTAGTGGTTTTATTATCCCTGTGGTCATGCGGTGGTATGCTCTAATTTTCAGTAATTAGATTTACAGGCAACGACTGACACATGTCCAGCTGCCAAGTATGTACCTGATAATACCCCCCCCCAAAATGTTATCATGTAACTTTGCTGAACAGCTTAGAAGCAAAACTTTGGAAAAGTGATCTCCACTGGTTGCTTTTATTGGTGTTCTGATGGTTCTCCTGGGAGCTTTTCCCATCCAGAAGCAGCTTTTGAAAACCCACTGGGGTAAGGGCATTAGAGATCTTTGTTTCTGTTTTAAAAATTAGAAATTTAAGTGGCAGGAGATGCCAGAGTGGAGGAAGCTCATTCGGTCTGTATGTTTTAAATCAGAATACAGCTGGCCTTACAAAAACCTTCTCTGTTGAGGAAGCTTATGCAGAAATACTAAAATATTTATCTTGATTCAGGTAGATTAAATAAGGAAAAGGTTTTGTTTTTGTTTTTCCACCTAATACTTGTGGACTGGCTTGGTGGTGACAGCAGTGCCAGGAACTCCAGATACTGAAAGATTTTCTATTGAAAAGTCAAAAGATGAGGGCAGTTTCACAAGGTATGAGCCACTTCATCCATGTTCAGAAAAAGATAGCACAGATTTTTTTTTTTTTGACAAACAGGGCGAGTGGGTAGTTAATATAATTAAGCTTTGATAAACACTTTAAAAATAACCACCCAATTTTGTTTCTATTAACAAACTTAGATAATGCCCACATACTATAGCTTATTATCAATACATATAATGAAATACACAAATACGAGTCTTTTTCAGTATACATAATCCTGACTCTGAAATTGTGTCATCAGAAAGAACTTCCTTCACAATTATTTATACTCTCACTTTCTGCCAAAGACAGCAAGTTCTACTCTGTGATTGTGCTTTTAACTCAACTGCAGAAATCTTTTCTCCTCTGCTGTTGTTTTTCAATAAGAATAGTCAAAGAACTTCATCAGACATTTACTTTGCAAAGATCTAAGGTGTCTGTTTCTTGTCCTGCTCACTTTAAGTCTTTAAATATGAGTCAAGTTTTAGGGAGATGTGTCAAAAATTAAAATTAGACTGTGTTAGTTTTTAATAACCAGAAAATATATTTCATGGAGGTTCTGGAAAAATAACTTTTGAGCCATTTTTCTACTGCCTTAAGTGAAAGACTGAAAGGGTTTAGTGAAGGGGAAACTTAATATCTTGACAATGTATGTAGCTTGTACTTATAAACTATTATTCACTCTAAATATATTTTATTAATCTCTTTTAAAACATTTTAAAGAGATTGAATCAATTTTGTTCATATTTTCAAGTGGATTAGTATTTGATTCTAATAAACACTGAGCATCTAAGTAAGCAGCCCATTTATTATATTATTATATAACTTAGAGTCTCATGAATATACCCAAATATAAGTGAAACTAGTTTAGATGCTGGGGTTTTCTGCCATGTTAATGAAAATAATATTTCATAAGTAAATTAAATATATGTTTTGCTCTCAAGTGCTGTTACACAAGATATTTTTACTTATGAGAGACTTTTGACTTAAAGATATCTTTTGAGGTAAACATTTAAACAACAGTAAATAATTCTTTGTGATATAAAATATTTTGAGCCTTGATAGCAAGTATTGATACTGTATTCTGACTTTCAAGACAGTGATAGTTTACAAATAACTAGTCTTCTATGTAATGAGTGCAAACGGAAATTAGACAGGATCACCAGTTGATTATTAAATGACTCAAACCACAAGACAAAGCTGTCTGTTCCAACACACATTAAATATCCTGCTTTTACTTTTTGCTCACTTGAGTATCAGAAAGCTAGTTGGAACTTTGAGAAATGCCAACTACTATAGTAGGATGGCCTTTTGATTCTTTTCAGGGATGGTAGCCATCCAATCATGCCCTCCCTGATACGAGGCATATCACCAACTTAGTTCAAAATAAGTTGCTATAATGAGTAATGTAGAACACAGTGGCTTAATTTAATACCTCAATAACCCAGTAATATTCTGTAATTTGAAATGAAGTCTAAGCATGGAATACTCCCAGTAGCCAATATTTTAGCCTGTAAAGAAAAAAATACTAATGCTTGGAAATTTCAAGCATATCTATTTGGAGGGGCCTTGTTAAAACTAATCATTTAAGAAAATGACAACTCTGGGATTTTAAAGGATCCATTCTATATGAAGTGACCCTTATGTAGGAGGCTTAGAGAATCACATGATTGATTTTCAGTAGCTATTAGGAAATAAATTTTATCCTCATTCAACCTTCCAGAATTAATACCTCGGGTATATTTTATGAGCATGAATAAAAAAACAGGAGTCTCTTTACTTAAATCCCAAATTACATTTCTTTTTTTAAAATAAATTTATGGGAAAAAAAACCTACACAGGTCTTCATGAAAGATAAAGAACCAAAATTAGTCATCAAATTTATTCATGTTGCAGGAATTCAATTTATTCTACCACATCTGGGCTCATTTAGGATAGTTCATCAATAAGCTCAATTTTAAAGTTTTCCTCTATGTTTACTGACTGGTAATTTCCTGCTACCTAGCTCTCCAAACTGTATTCAATGGGTCTTCTTCTAGAACTGAATCAAAAATAATGATCTGAACATTTAATGACAGACATTTATCTGTCTTTAAATATTGCTGTGGCTCCAGCTCTGGAGGAGGGATTCTCCCATCTTTAACTTCTTTCCTAGGTTATGAAACTTGGAAATCCGGAGATTGCCAGGAGACTTCTCCTCAGAGGTGCTAATCCCAATTTGAAAGACCGAACTGGTTTTGCTGTCATTCACGATGCTGCCAGAGCAGGTTTCCTGGACACTGTACAGGCTTTGCTGGAGTTCCAAGCTGATGTTAACATCGAAGATAATGAAGGGAACCTGCCCTTGCACTTGGCTGCCAAAGAAGGCCACCTCCCTGTGGTGGAGTTCCTTATGAAGCACACAGCCTGCAATGTGGGGCATCGGAACCATAAGGGGGACACCGCCTTCGACTTGGCCAGGTTCTATGGAAGAAATGAGGTCATGAGCCTGATGGAGGCAAATGGGGTTGGGGGAGCCACGAGCCTGCAGTGAGTGTGTGGTCTTGTCCACTGCCTTCATTCTGTCCGTTAGTTGGTTGGCTGTCCTGTTTTACTATCACTTATTAAAATATAGGATTCGTTTTGCTTCATTTTCATATTTTAAGCAGCTAGTCAAATCCTTCGAAACTGCCTAAATGGAAATCTTACTACAAGTTTATGAAATATTTAAACATCGTTTTCACTGTCAAAATTCTGATTTCTAACATGTAATTGCATATAGTTATGCCTTTCTTCTGGATATTTTATCTTTGTTCTTTTTTCCCCTTTGCTTACCCTTTGCCATTTTCAATGTCTGATTTGAAGACTTTGTTTTAAAAAATACTTGTTTTGATGCATCTTTTGCCTAATTAAAACACATTTTTCAGAAGAGGACCACATTTTCCTGTGATTTTTTTTTTTTACTTCTCTGTAACCTACACACAACTTGCCACTTTGTAAGAAATGTGTTAAAGTTCATGGTAGTGTAAGTCTGAACATTAGAGAGGAACACATTGGAAGCCTGGTTAGAGTGTGGTTACAGGGGAGCTCTTCCTTTATCTCCTTCCCCCGCCCCCTCCCAAAGATTTCATTGGCTAGCTCTGCTCTTACTAGTATTTTGGCTTCAAAAAAGAATATGAACAGCAATTTTGAAGATCAGACTTGAAATTATTTCAGTATAAATTCCTTGTAATGTCCAACCACCCCCTTTTCTCAAATTTGAGTCAAACAGCAGAAAGGTAGGTTTTAGAAGTAGCAATTTAAAAAGAGATATCAGCTCTTAAAAAGTCAGTGCTGAAGAGAACACCACTGAGAAAGTGCTTCCCTTAGGTTAGGTGACTTTTTTAAACCATAAAAGGAAACAATTACTTAATGTATTTCTCAGGCTTGAACTACACTGGCTTCTTCGTAATGTCAAAAATGCTAAACTACAAAATGTTTAAGCATTAAAATACAAATATCACCAGTATTCATGGTGGGAGACTAAAAAAAATCTCAGGCAGGAAAAAATGTATAAATGATATATAAAGATCATAACTACTTAGGGTCTACATAGTAAGAAACATAGAAACTTTCACAACACATGATAAGCAACTCCTCTATATGGAATTTGACTCGTTTCCATATTTTTTAAAAAACTAAATGGGTGTAAAGTCTTTGGGGAAACATGTTTAGATTAATAAATTGTTGACAGAACTAGACATATCTCAGATTTCCTAAAGGATCCCCCTACATTTGGTACTCTTACTATCATGTTAAAGATAGTCACCAAAGGATTTCAGTGCAGTTACCATTTATAAATTCATAAATGCTGCATTCATCATTTGCCACACTAACAAAGATGTTTTATGTGGAAGTTCCCTCCCCTGCTTCTTAAGCTCTCTGCCTTCAATTCAAAAAGAACAAACTACTTGAAGGTTTATTGGAGGGCATGGCTCTGATGTCTGCCTTTGCAAAGACTGCAAGGGCCGAAGGCAAGCAGCTCTTATTGGCTTCTCTTCTAGTGTAATATTAAAGAACCTGGGATCAAAAGCAGAAACATTTTCATTGTGAGGTAAAAATTTGCATTCTCTAAACTTAATGTTATAAGATTTTTTTACAATTCTACATAGGTTGACTTTCAATGGCAACATAACATTAAACTTAAGAAATTTTTGAAGGTACAGGTTGAGATGCTCCAAAAGGAAAATATTTCAATTTAAAAAATAGACTCGCTGAGCAGTGGCGCATGCCTTTAATCCCAGCACTTGGGAAGCAGAGGCAGAGGCAGGTGGATTTCTGAGTTCGAGGCCAGCCTGGTCTACAGAGTGAATTCCAGGACAGCCAGGGCTATACAGAGAAACCCTGTCTCGAAAAACAAAACAAAACAACAACAAAAAAAAAGACTCAATATATAAAATAAGCATAGTACTATTGCTGAAAGCAATTCCTTAAAACCCTTCTTATACATTGTAACGGTAAAGTTGGGCAATTCTAAATTTCCAGTTTAATTGGCTCGCAGTACCACCGTCTCAGCATTTACTTTATCCCATGATGTGAAAGTCACCTTTAGAGATTTCAAATACAAAGGCATGAGATGTCCATAAAGCAAAAGAGAAGTACTGTAATTGCTTTGTTCTCGGGTGGTCTGAGCACAAGAGAGGGAGAGGACGCCCTATCTCTTCATCAGCCTAAGGTTTGCTAGGCATTAAAACGTCTCCACATTACCCTGGCTCCTCGCAGGAAGTAGCTTTGCTAATCTGAGTATTTTAGAAATGAGTTATGTGGTCCCATCTAGGAAATATGAAAAGCTATCCAATCTCTCAAAAACCTCGACAGTACTCAGTAGAACTCTTGAATAAGCAGAGAAGAGAGTGCGCTGCTGAGCTTACTGGGGTCTAGATGACAGCGAGCTCAGGTCGGAAGGAATCTGAATTTATTCAGGTGCAGAGTAAGGATGAAAAAGCTAATTGAATAGAGTGCCCGGATCCCCAGGGGACCCTGCTATATTAAAGACAGAGGTTATAAAGTAGAGATTCAAGCTGAGTTTTCTTCACTGTGCCCTAATCCGCACCGGGACACTCAGGTCCAGCCTTTGGACAGTAAATTAAATCCATACTTACACCTGCAAAGGGTGGTGTGTGTGTGTGTGTGTGTGTGTGTGTGTGTGTGTGTGTGTGTGTGAACAGGGTCGCAGTCCACTCTGGTACCAGAATTATAATCAAGGTGCCTTACATCCCATTTCCCTAGTGAGTCAGTATTTTTTTTTATGAATATCATTCATCAAGCAGTGCTGTGATGAGCTCTTGCACACACACACACACACACCACTTCAAGTAACTGACAAATACATAAAGTATTATTCCTGAGAAAGTAATTTACTTGGCAATATAATTTGCTTTATCTTGATCATATTGAATGTCAGAATTTGTGGCCAGGGACCTTCACGTTTTCTGTTGCTCGGAAGTTGCTTTAAGCTTTCACCGGGGTCCAAAAAACAATGAAAACTATCACAGTGCTGGGGCAAGAAGGGGTCATACTTGCAAACCTTCCAGACTGTTCCAAGCTCCTCTGCCAAAAGACTACAGAGGAGAAAGCCTCCTGTTAGTATATGTAGACGGCGCTACCTTTTTACCCGGCTGTTTCATGCAAACCGTCCCACGCAGGGACTTAGTGAGAGGCAGAAAAACAAAAATCCCCGCCTGAGACAGGGTAAAGCTCTGCCCAGAACCAACCTCATCATCTATGGAGGGGCTGCGAATACATCTTTTGTGTCCCAGAGTTAGACTACGTTTGGGTGCAGTAGGGAAGAAGCTGGAGCCTGGCGCTCCTCCTGTGCGCTCAGAAAAGCCCGGGGGTGGGGGTGGGGGAGCTGCAAAACCGTTAGCTCACTTTTTTTTTTCCTCTTCCTCGCAAAGGTCTCTTTTCTCTTCTCTTCCTGTCCAAATATTTCAAATTTCCGCGCCTTAAATAACAGTCTCCCTTTATTTAGCTAGTTTCCTCGGCAGGTTTAGCCGCTGACTGGTCTCTGCCCCTCTATGGATCCGCAATGCCCCTCGCACCTCGGTGTCTCCTGCAGCCCCTACAACACCCCATGCCCAGCGCGCTGCAAGAGCGTGCCCGCACGAGCCACAACCTCTGCGCTTCGCAGCCTCGCTTGACCTGACTGTCCTGGGCACCCGGAGCCACCGAGGCTGCCCCCAGCCCAGTCGGGAGCCCGCCTGTCTCCCAGCCCAATTCCCTCCCTGAGCTTTAGGACGTGTCCGGCTTGGGGCTTGGAAGCCCACAGCCCTGCGGCAGCGAAAGGCAAAGGGCAGGAGGAGAGCTACAAAGGAGGCCGGTGGCCACAGTCCATGCCAGCCCCCAGCCGCGAGTAACCTTGGAGGCGCCCTCGAGTGAGTGTCTGCGCGCGATCGTGCCGGGAGGAGCGGGAGGAGGGAGCAGGGAAGGGGGAACCGGTCCCCCAGAACTCCGGGAGTTGTGGGCAACCACAGCAGCCGGCTCCCGGTGCTGGCCCTCGGTCAGCCCTCCCTCTGGTTAGGGCTGGCCCCGGGGCTACGGCCGGAGGGCGGTGCGTGAGCTGGGGCGAGCAGGCCGGTGAGCGCCTGCCTGTCCGCGGAGGTGAGCTGGCGGCCGGAGCCGCCCGCACGCTGCAGCCACTCAGTGCCCTACTCCAAAGCTAGCTCTCTCTTCCTCCGCTGGCGATGACAGCTGAGAACAGCCGGGCTTCCCAACCTGGCGTCCAACTGCTAAGGAAACAAATTCTTCTCTGGCTTCTTACCGTCTTGGACTACTCGCAAAACTGCCCTATGGTTTTGCTTTTCCTCCGTAATTTACTAGACATCCGGAACCGAAAATGCACCTTCATTCAAAAAGACCCCAGCCTGAACGGTGACCTTCAGTGGCTGGGGTGTGCAGAACACCTAGGACTATGATTTTTGTTTGTTTGTTTTTCTTTTTCAATCTTTAGCGGTGCCTGAAAAGAACCCCCCTTCTCTCCCAACCCCCAGATCTGGATATAGACTTGGTAAATTAAGATTCCAGCGAAATATTTTGCCATCTGTGTAGAGACACTGTGTGGACTTTAGGTGTTAGGATGTGGTTTTGGAATTTTCTGTGTTGTCTTTAATTCTCAGCAGACATTAAAAAAGCAGCTTGGTCTCGACCAGCAAGTGAGCAAAGGTTATCCCTGCTACCACAACACCTGCAAAAGCACAAGTGGAACTCACAGATTTTGCTTCCCATGTTCTAAAATGGATTCTGAACCGTCCAGAGAAATCAGCACATAGGAGGGGAACCTGAGAACAGAGGTGTACATTTTAAAAATTACACAGGTACTGTACTAAAACTGTCTCACTTCATCTCTCTGTGTTTCTGTCTCGCTGATCAAAGCAGAATTTCAACTTAGGCCTGCTAAATAATTTTATATACAGCCTTTTTTCTCTTCCCTCACACTCCATTTCCCACCCCCCCAACCCCCCAAATACAAAACAACCAGCCAAAAACAGCAGCTCTTTGGGGGAGGAAGTAAGAAACCATCAATTTCTATCCAACTACACTTCATTTCTTCTGAGTACTAAGAAGAAATCCTACTTTCACTCAGTTCTAGGGAAGAAATAATTTACCAGAAGCACGACATTTAACTGGTGCAATTATAATAATATTGTCTTTTTTACATACAAATCAGAGTGTTTCTGTACTTGCTAAGTAAAAACCCAAATTTCTTCCTGAGAGTATTTGGACATGGAGACTTGTGTTTTAATATTTTGTCAGTACAGCAAGTCTCTTAGAAAAGTCTGGAACTTTATTTTAGCCAGGTAGAGAGCTGTTATCATGTTGGCAGATTTTGTTTCTGTGCCTTTGGTTTTCAAATTAGTTACATAAATAGTGAAAGTTCTGTATAAAGGCAAAATATC